CTTCTTGTATTAGTGCTTGTATATATGAGATGTTGTGCTCGTGTTTCCAGGAAGGGGGAACCTGCTGACAAGATACCCTGTAAGATCCCTCATCTTGATCCTCATCCTGGATCACCTCTTTTTTTTTATAAATGGAACATGGTCTTGTTTCTTTTTTTGCCTGTTTGCTGAGATCTTTTCTTGGTTCAAAGCTGCTAACTGGATATCTGCTGCACTTGTGAGAAGCCCAAGGAATAATATGAAAGTTTGAATGCCTTTTTTTCAGGACAAAAATTGAATTTATCAAATTGAATTGTGAAACCAAAAGTTATGTGAGTTCATATGGACATGCCTTCAAAAAGAAACTTTTTTTGAATATTCAGAGTTAGGCAGTTGAAGCATATATCAGTGTTTTTCTTGACTGTTAAAAGGTTTATTTTTTGGCTGAAGATGAATCCTCTTTGCCAAATTTTAGCAAACAATCTTAATTTGGAAAAGATAACAGCTTTGAAAGTTGTCCACATAATTTTGAAAGACTTATTACAGATTCTTGAAGTTGACCTGATTGAATGCTTTCATGTTTTAAGAATTTGCATTCAGCCAAATATATCTACAGCCAAATTTCAGAAAGTTGAGAATATTGTACATGAAAATGTCTCAAATTCAAAAATGATGCTCCAATGAAAATAATTTTTCTGCATTTTTGTACAGATGATGCTGATTTTACATATTAATTTAATGTTTCAATACCCTGAGTCAATGTGATCAATAATCAAAAATACTCAGATATGAACAGAGAATTGGCTACCTGTCTTTTTCTATTAATTATTATTTTATTGTTTTTCTGATTATATAATTTTAATAACCCATTCACATGGTTTTAAGTTATGGGCACAACTTGAAAAATCCTCAGATCTTTCCTTGTCTCCTGATAACACAAGCTAACAAAATCAACTTTGTCCAACAATTCTTGAATCATGACACTTTTTTGATTTTATGAAAAGCTTGAATGAATCATTCAAACTTTCTTCAACAAAATTTGTGACTGCAATGAATGCTTTTTTGTCAATAACCGGTCATTTACCATCAGTAAAGACTAAATAAATTTCCAGCCATTGGACTTCGATTTTGTTTTCTCAAGAAAACCACTTCTGGCAGACCATGATAATTTTTTTATGTATATTGTATATTATTTCGTTGGACAAAAAAATGCCTAAGCTTCAAATGCCCAAACCAAAAGAGGTTTGGTGAGCTCTGAAAAGCTGAATTTTGGACAATATAGATACAGCTGGATAAGGCAACTGAGCCCCATTATCTTCCAAATTATCAATTTTGGATGATATGTGAAAAAAATGAAGAACTTTTGGTGTGACCCATGAAGTATAGAAGAAGAGCGATGAGGGGGAGAGGAGACAAAGAGTGAAATGTATCCGCGATTATATAAGGCAGGAGAAGCAGGTTTGGCTATATGTGCTGTTGCCGCTCAGCTCAATCACTGCGACCACTGGACAGCAGGGGAGGATCCCTGAAGGGATCCCTCCTGGACCTCAATTAGGCTCCCCAAGGGTGGCTAAAGAGACGCTTGGGGATCTCTCCACTCATTCCCCCACAGACCAGGCTACTTTCATATCTCTTTTTTTGTGGTAATGGTGTTGGTGGTGGTGGACATCGGAGATCCCCCTTTTTTAATTATTTCTTCAGATAAGGAGCAGCTGCAGAGGAAATAAGCCATGAGTGAGGATTTTTGGTTTCCCATCAACGCCTTCTGCTCTCTTGTGGATAAATTGCTTGGAACTTCTCCAAACAAACAATTATTGCTGTTTGTTGCTAAAATGTGGAGGAAATGCCAAGATATATCTGGGTGTATGACTGCGCAGGCATAAAATAATAAGGAGATTAAAAGACAATGTTCTCTATATGTGGCATTCTGGAAGTATTTCTTGTTCCTGCAGTGCTCTCAAATTCATCTTTCCTCATTTTTTTTCTGGCAAACTTAGTAGACACAGAACAAGTTTGGTGAACACAGATTAAAGATTTTTCTCTCAGAAACTCTGAAATGATTTGTAACTGTACATGGTTTCTTGTCAATGAATGAATGCAGAATGCTCTATTTTCTGCTTTTGAGCATTCACAACGTTCAATCAAAATTTCCACATCCAAACCCCCTCCCCACCCAACCCAAATCCATTCAAAGACATTCAATCACTTCAGATTGGGAAACAGAACTTAGATGCAAATGCATATCAAAAATAAAAGAAAATACATTCCAAAAAATACAACTGCACAATTGATATGTATGCATACACCCATTCTGTCCCTGACATTGAAAACCAAATATCAGTGACAAGAATTGCAGCATAAGCCAGAATTGAATCAATTGCAGCAGTTAAACCCAGTTTAAAGCACTGTCTTCAATTTCCAATTTAAAGCACAATGTCTTCAATCTCCAATTTAAAGCACAATCTTTTCTTCTCAAAGATTCTCTCACTGTTTAATCAACGGAACCTCATCTGGGAACATCAGGCTGAACACTGTGTGCTTTAATTTGGGTTCAGTAATTGCCTTAAACTGCAATTCTTATTATACTGAAATCTTTTAATGTGTTATCATCAGAGTGTAACCCAGAAACTGATTTCCTTCTTTATTCGTTTCCTCTCCTTATTTGGGTTGAAATTTCTTTTAAAAGGTTTTAAGTTCCTTGCAGCTGTTCCCTCTTGCTTTGGTTCCCCTCCCTCGCGTCAGCCCTCATAAATGCGTGATGCCCGTTTATGTTTGTTTCCTCTATAGAATCAGCTATTTGTCAACAGTGCTATACAACCCTCCTCTTTCTGAAGAACTTGCCAATTTAAGAAGAACCCTCTTGTCAAAGGTACAAGTGTATTTATTAAATATATTTGTATTCATATATATATACCCAGATGTATATACTGTATATTCATTAGTGTTCAAAAAACCCACAGTTCCTCAATCTAGGCAAATATCTCGCCTATATATTTTGTGTTCCCAGAAGGTATATATTTACCCTGGATACTGTATGTTTTCTCAGAATTAATCTAGAGTCATTTGAGGGTATTTCTCAGAGGGACTTGCATAACAATTTAGCAAGACTCTCTTTGTATTCTCCATATCTCTGTATTTTGTGTGTTTGTACAATTGGAATAATTGTGACTTGAATATATAGAAGATATATTTTATTTTGAACTCGTATTTTATTTACCTCAGTCTATGGACAACAAGAGGAGGGAAGAAAGTGTATGCATTTACATCAGTTGTGCAATTATACATTTTGGGATGCATTTTCTGTTCTTTGAATATGCTTTTCTGGCTTATTTCTCTGCTCTCCATTCTGATGTGATGGAATGTGTTCAGATGAATATGGGTGGGAACTGGGATAAGGGTTTTGGATGCAGGAACATTGTTATAGAACATTGTGAATTCTGAAAAGCAAAAAATAAAGCTTCCTGTTCAATTCAATTCCATGAGCTGTACTTATAATCCACCGTCTCCATGTTTTAGTAAGCTCAAAATACTTTTTTAATATTTTTATTTGTACAGCTTTATTATTTCACTGTGCTCACATTTGATTGTGTATATGTAATGAATCTCGGATAAATTATGCAGTCAATATTTTTTAAAATTTCAATGTTGTACTTGAAAACTTGAATAGTGGGAATGGATTGTGGACTTTCATTATCCCTGATGAAATTTGAATAAAGGTGTTTGAGAACAATTGGTTTTGGTGATTGCCAGGCCATCATCAAACTCAAAGCCTGTTCATTTGTGAAAATGTAGTTCTTAAACTGAATGATCCCTCATGTTTGATTATACTGGGAAAATATTCATTCATCTTGGTGGATAATATATCTTTGATTAGACATAGTTCCTGTCGATAGCCACCCATAACATCTTCTTTGAAATTTCAATACAGCTGAATAATGAATATTTTTCAGTTTTTGGAAACTTACAAGTGAAAAGAACCTGTCCTTTATTTGGCTAATGAAAGCATTCAAATAATCGAAAAACGAATTGAAGATATTCACGTTTTCAAAATGCAGCACAAATCTCGAGAAAGGCATGATGGTAATACTCATAAAATATTGACAAATATTTCAAATTCTGAGAAACAAAATCAGCAAATCAGAAAATCAACATTAGAAACTGCATCTTTAGCAAAGGCATGGGATCCTGTGCAGCTGTCAAAATGTTTGATTGAAATCAATTTGCTGTCATATCAAGGGCAATGAAAGGCCAAAGATGGGTACTGAAGTCTTAGAAATCTGCTGCAGCAGACCATGCTGGGATTTATTTGCCCTGTGTCTTTCTGCCATCAAAACAGCTGCACCAAATGAGGAAAACCCATCCCCCAGGGTGTCAACCTGAAATGGGTTTCATGACCACACCAGATGTGTCTAGAATGTAAAAGCCATATTTTCCAGTGCTGGTGCAAAAGATTATTTTTTTCGAGAGGAAAAAACTGAATTCAGTGTCCATTGCATAATTTCCTTTTGATGAAACTTAAGTAATGTTTGCAAACAAAAATTGTACATGCCAGGAAGTTTTTGTTGTCCAGAAAGAAAGTGCTGCAGCTCACAATCCAATTTATCACTTGACTTCCAGGGCAAACAAGTTTAACCAGGGTTCTTTTGCATTGTGCACAGAGTTGGAATTTGAAGGGGGGCAGTTTGACACAAGGTCACTGAAATGCACCCATGTTGAGAAGGTGTAAGTTGGAAAAATTGTGGGAGGCAAATTTTCTACTGTTTTCAGGATTCTCCCATGCAAATCCTATGCCAGGAATGATGGAAAAATGCCACCATTTGAGGTATTTTTCTTTCCATTCATAATGTCCTGCATTTTGTCAAGTTTTATTATATGTTTCTTTGGGCTATACTCATTTGGGTTTCTGATGCATCATGTAGGCTTCCACCTACATGCNAAAAAAAAAAAAAAAAAAAAAAAAAAAAAAAAAAAAAAAAAAAAAAAAGTCAGCGAAAAATAAAAACACGAAGGAGGATCTCAGCCTGGTGCTGCTGCATGCTGGGGAGGAGGATCCCTCTTGGTCGGAACTGCTGCATTTTCGAGCTGTCAGCGATGGTCATTATTCATCCGGCACAAAAGCATCCGCCTGCTGGCGATCCGGTTCCGTCCTTCTTTCCTCATCTCTTGATTTCCGCTTCCTCTCTCTCTATCTATTTTGCAGGAAATCAGCTGTGCAATTTGGCGACCCCTCCCTCCCTTGCTAATTGTCAATTTGGCGCACTGATTATTTCCATATGACGCCTGGAGGAAATAAAAAAAGAGGAATCAGTTTGAAGAGGATGAGGTTAGGAGGGAAATGAGGAGAAATATTTTCGGCACATTCAGAATTTTCATCATTTTGTTGTCTGGAGACCAAGAAATAAAATATTTGTTCTGATATAATACAGTGAGACCCCAAGATGTTGATGTAATTGGTGCATCAAGAGTGTCCCCAAGTCAAAATGTCCCTACGTTGAGTCTTGTTTTCCCATAGACTTACATTATATAATTTACAATTGGTGTTTTGTGGAAGATTGGTGTTTTGTGGAAGAGAGGGAGGTTTTACTAACCTCCCTCCCTCGCTGATTTAAAATTTGGCACACTGATTATTTCCATATGACGCCTGGAGGAAATAAAGAAGATGAATCAATTTGATGAGGCGGATGGCATGACCAGGAAAATGGGGAGAAATATGTTGGTATATTCAGGATTTTCATTATTTTGTTGTCCAGAGACCAGGAAATAAAATATGATACTACTGAAGAATGTCCTTGCTCTGAGCCTTGAAACCAAACTTGGGTTTGATTCAGAGGCTGTCAGGGACCGTAAGGTGTCGCCCTTTACGCTCCAATCACTGCTACACCTGAAAATGCCACAAACACAGAAATCATTAATATTTCACAACCCTGTTTCCGACCACAAGAACTCACCTCAACTCGACCTTGGAAACCAGTTTTCCAGTACTGGTCCCGGAACTCCGAAGCACCGAA